TGTGTGTGTGTGTGTGTGTGTGTGTGTGTGTGTGTGTGTGTGTGTGTAGGCGGAGCTGAGAGAGGCCTGGGAGAAAAGGGAGGGGAGGTCTACCGGGAGGAGGACAAGGTTGTGGTGCGTGTGGGAGAAGGAAGGGGTGGGGGAATTGCAAAGTTTCTCAGAATAAAACCCAGGAAACAGGAAGCAAGAGAAGGCCAGGGAGGAGCCCAAGAAACCCTGTGGTTGCTCGGAGCCAGCCAGGCTTGTGGGGACGAAGTCGACTCCACCCTCTTCCCCCTGGTTTCCTGGCTTTCTTTTCCCTGGGCATCTCTTTCTGAGAATTCCCTGAGAATTCCCCTTCTGTTGGGCCCGAATAAAAGAGGAGGTAGGAAAAGTGGAAGCAAGAGGGCAGAGGATAAGAGAGTTGGGTCCCAGGGGCAGAAGCCAGCCAGAGGCGCCTGCTCAGCCCAGAAACACCCAAGCTGGGCACAGGGTCCCTCTACCTACTTCCACAAGTGTGGATGAATCCTCACTTTCAGCCCCAGGACACTAATAATAAACAGTATTGCAACTGAGCAACTACTATTGTGAGCCTGAAACACACGGGTAATACTTCAGTTAACTCTCACAGCAATGGCTCATCATCATATCATCACGCCCATTTTGCTGATAAGCAAACAGGCTTGGAGAGACGAGGTGTCTTGTAACCACCCAAGGGGTTCACCCTGCCCGCTGCCTAGACAGAGCCGATTCATCAAGACAGGTGAATTGCAATAAAGAGTAATTGCCGGGCGCGGTGGCTCACGCCTGTAACCCCAGCACTTTGGGAGGCCGAGGCGGGTAGATCACGAGGTCAAGAGATTGAGACCATCCTGGTCAACATGGTGAAACCCTGTCTCTACTAAAAATACAAAAAAACATTAGCTGGGCATGGTGGTGCGTGCCTGTAATCCCAGCTACTGGCTGAGGCAGGAGAATTGCCTGAACCCAGGAGGTGGAGGTTGCGGTTGAGCTGAGATCGAGCCATTGCACTCCAGCCTGGGTAGCAAGAGTGAAACTCCATCTCAAAAAAAAAAAAAAAAAAAAAAAGAAAGAGTAATTGACACAGAGGTGGCTGTGTGGGAGACCTGAGTTGTATTATTACTCAAATCAGTCTCCCCGAACATTCTGGCAGCAGAGTTTTTAAGGATAACTTGGTGGGTAGGGGGAAAGACAGTGATCTGGTAGTGCTGATTGGTCAAAGATGAAATCACAGGGAGTCAAAGCTGTCTTCTTGCCCTGAGTCAGCTCCTGTGTGGGGGCCACAAGATCACCTAAGTCACTTTATTGATCCGGGTGGAGCCAGCTGATCCATCCAGTGTACAGTCTGCAAAATATCTCAAGCACTGATCTTAGGAGCAGTTTGGGGAGGGTCAGAATCTTGTAGCCTCCAGCTGCATGACTCCTAAACCAAAATTTCTAATCTTGTAGCTAATGTTAATCCTACAAAGGCAATCTAGTCCCAGGCAAGAAGGAGGTCTTTGGGAAAAGGCTGTTAATGTCTTTGTTTAAACTTTAAGTTTCTCCCAAAGTTAGTTCAGCTTAAGCTCAAGAATGAACAAGGATAGCTTGGAGGTTAGAACCAAGATGGAGTCAGTTAAGTCTCTCTCGCTGTCTCAGTCATAATTTTGCAAAGCAGTTTCAGTCTTTCCTGGAGTCACACAGCTAGCAAGTAGCCAGGGTTTCATGTTCTCTGCTCCCAAATTTATTGGCTAGTAGGAAGAGAAAGTCCCAAATAACCAGTTTACATAGAATATGGTGTTAGGAGAGTTGTTTTCACAGGGTGCTCACAGGAGAGCCATTAAGCCCAGCCTAGGAAATTCAGGGCAGAATGCTAGACACAGTGGATCATGCCTGTAATCCCAGCTCTTTGGGAGGCTGAGGCGGTTGGATCACTTGAGGTCAGGAGTTTGAGACTGGCCTGGCCAACATGGTGAAACCCCCATCTCTACTAAATAAAGATACGACAATAAAAAAAAAATTAGCTGGGCCCAGTAGTGCACACCTGTATTCCCAGCTTGGGAGACAGAGGCATGAGAATTGCTTAAACGTGGGAGGCAGAGGTTGTAGTGAGCTGAGATCATGCCACTGCACGCCACTCTGGGCAACAGAACAAGACTCCATCTCTAAATAAATAATATTATGTAATAATAATAATTAGCTGGACATGGTGGTGCACATCTGTAGTCCCAACTTCTCAGAAGGCGGAGGCAGGAGGATTGTGTGATCTCAGAAGGCTGAAGCTGCAGTGAGCTATGGTGGTGCCACCACACTCCAGCCTGGACAACAGAGCAAGGCTTGTCTCAAAAAGAGGGAATTCAGGTCGGGCACGGTGATTCACGCCTGTGATCCCAGCACTTTGGGAGGTCAAGTTAGGAAGATCACCTGAGGTCAGGAGTTTAAGACCAGCCTGGCCAACATGGTGAAACCCCGTCTCTACTAAGAATACAAAAATTAGCCAGGCGTGGTGGTGGGCACCTGTAATCCCAGTTACTCAGGAGGCTGAGGCAGGATAATGCTTGAACCTGGGCAGCGGAGGCTGCAGTGAGCCGAGAGAGCACCACTGCACTCCAACTTGGGTAACAGAGTGAGACTCTGTCTCAAAAAACAAAAGAGGGAATTCAGGGCAGGCTTCCTGTAGGAGGTGACACTAAAACACGTTAGGAATTAGCCAGGAAGAAAAAATGGGGAGGAGGATGGGAGGCAAAAAATAGCAAAGGAAAGGAGATGTCAAACAGTAGTGTGTATCTGCCCTGGGGCAGGAGTAAGGAAAAGGGTTGCCAGGGCCTTCGAGGACACGTGGGAAATGAGGATTTTGAGGAGTAGGCTTGGCTCCTCAATCCAGCCTCCTTGGGTATGATCTGCAAAAAGACCTTGTTTCCCTGTGGTTGGACACTAAGTACGGTGTTCTTTTTTCTTTTCTTTTTTTTGAGACAGTCTCTCCCTCTGTGGCCCAGGCTGAAGTGCAATGGTGCAATCTTGGCTTACTGCAACTTCCATCTCCCCAGTTCAAGCGATTCTCCTGCCTCAGCCTCCTGAGTAGCTGGGATTACAGGCGCACACTACCACGCATGGCTGATTTTTGTATTTTTTGGTAGAGATCGGAGTTTCACCGTGTTGGGCAGGCTGGTCTCAAACTCCGGCCTCAGGTGATGCACCCGCCTCAGTCTCCCAAAGTGCTGGGATTACAGACTTGAGCCACCGAGCCTGGCTATGTATGGTGTTTCTGTTCATTTTTCTGGGTCAAAATAAGAGTGGGATGGGGGCAAGCATAATCCAATGGGCGATTTTTTAATTTTTATTTTTTGAGATAGTGTCTCACTCAGTCACCCAGGCTACAGTGCAGTGGTGGGGTCTCAGCTCACTGAAACCTTCATCTCCCCGGTACAAGCGATTCTCCTGCCTCAGCCTCCCGAGTCGCTGGGATTACAGGCCCTGGCCACCATGCCCAGCTAATTTTTCTATTTTTTTTTTTTTTTGGGACGGAGTTTCGCTCTTGTTACCCAGGCTGGAGTGCAATGGCGCGATCTCAGCTCACCGCAACCTCCGCCTCCTGGGTTCAGGCAATTCTCCTGCCTCAGCCTCCTGAGTAGCTGGGATTACAGGCACGCGCCACCATGCCCAGCTAATTTTTTGTATTTTTAGTAGAGACGGGGTTTCACTATGTTGACCAGGATGGTCTCGATCTCTTGACCTCGTGATCCACCTGCCTCGGCCTCCCAAAGTGCTGGGATTACAGGCTTGAGCCACCGCGCCTGGCCTAATTTTTCTATTTTTAGTAGAGACAGGTTTTCACCATGTTGGCCAGGCTGGTCTTGAACTCCTGACCTCAAGTGATCCGCCCGCCTCAGCCTCCCAAAGTGAGCCTGTGAGCCACTGCACCCGTCCTAGATGGGCGATTTAAAGAATCCTCAGGTGCTGTAGGGGCTGCATGGTGCACGGTGGGATGGAGATGAGGGAGAAAGGGGTGCTCAGTGAGGAGGCAGATTAATGACCGGCTGCATGGAGGTGGCAGCAGAGGCACAGAGAGAAAGGGACAGCATGGAGAGATCCTTGAAGACACGATAGGCCAGGCTCCGTGGCTCACACCTCTAACCCCAGCACTTTGGGAGGCCAAGGAGGGTGGATCACTTGAAGTCTGGAGTTCCAGACCAGCTTAGCCAACATGGTGAAATCCTGTCTCTACTGAAAATACAAAACTTACCCAGGCGTGGTGGTGCCTGCTTGTAATACCAGCTACTTGGGAGGCTAAGGCAGGAGAATCGCTTGAACCCAGGAGGCAGAGGTTGCAGTGAGCTGAGATCACACCACTGCACTCCAGCCTGGGTGACTGAGCAAGACGCTCTGTCAAAAAAAAAGGCATGACCCTCTGCTAAGACGCGACCCTCTGCTTGGACATAGGGCTGAGGAAGAAGGAAGAAGCTGGGCTGTGTGGCTCTGGGGTGCCTGGAAAGACGATGGGCTTTCTTGGTGTTGGGGACGGCGCCCTGAGCAGGAACATCTTCGTGCTTTCAGGGTTATGGGATCCAGTTTTTCGGACCCAAGGAGTATTATGAGGGTGAGTGGTGTGGCAGCCAGCGCAGCGGGTGGGGCCGCATGTACTACAGCAACGGTGACATCTACGAGGGACAGTGGGAGAACGACAAGCCACACGGGGAGGGCATGCTGCGCCTAAGTGAGTGCCCCGCCCTCTCAGGGCCCGCCCACCCGACCACGCCCCTGGCGGCGAGCTGGTCACGTCCACCTGGTCCCACAGGGAAACACCACACCAGGCAAAGCTCTTGCATCAGTTGGGACAAGAGAGGAAACGGACCCTATCCCTCCCCTCAGAGAGCTTGTACTTTCCTAGGGGAGCCTAACAATAAATAAATAACTAAGAATTTCTTGGGATCCTCATAATCATAGCCAACACTTATATGCACTGGGCTCATTTAATCCTCACCACAGTCCCATAAGATAGTGATTTTAGCCCGGGCGTGGTGGCTCACGCCTGTAATCCCAGCACTTTGGGAGGCCAAGGCAGGCAGATACCTGAGGTCGGGAGTTTGAGACCAGCCTTACCAACATGGAGAAACCCCATCTCTACTAAAAAAAGTACAAAATTAGATGGCTGTGGTGGCACATGCCTGTAACCCCAGCTACTCAGGGCACTGAGGCAGGAGAATCACTTGAATCTGGGAGGCAGAGGTTGTGGTGAGCCAAGATCGTGCCATTGTACTCCAGCCTGGGTTGTAAGAGCGAAACTTCATCTCAAAATAATAATAATAATCATCATCATGAAATAAAAAAGATAGGTGCTCTTATCATCCCTTCTTTACAAATGGACTGAGACACGGAGCCGATGTCACTCACTCCAGGTCACACCGTCTGGGCTATTGGGTAAATGTGCTAACATTTCTCCTTAGGAAACAGGAAGGCCTGTTGGGAAATGATGACAGAATTTGGGGCAGGGCCTATTTAACTTGACTTATAGTCAGGGAATGCCTCCCTCAAGAAGGTGCGTTGGGTTTTTGTTTTTGTTTTTGAGACCAGGTCTCTCTGTCACTTAGGCTGGAGTGCAATGACACGATCTCAGCTCACTGCAACCTCTGACTCCCAGCTTCCAGCAATCTCCTGTCTCAGCCTCCCGAGTAGATGGGATTAGAGGCGTGTACCACCATGCCCATCTAATTTTTTTTTTTTTTTTTTTTTTTTGTATTTTTTTTAGTAGAGACAAGGTTTCATTCACCATGTTGGTCAGGCTGATCTCAAACTCCTGACCTCAAGTGATCCACCTGCCTCGGACTCCCAAAGTGCTGGGATTACAGGCGTGAGCCACCGTGCCTGGCCCAGAGGGTGCATTTGAATATTTGAAAGGAGACCCAAAGGAGGAGAAGTAGCTGGATTTTTTTTTTTTTCTTTTGAGACCAGTCTCACTGTCACCCTGGCTGAAGTGCAGTGGGGCAATCTCAGCTCCCTGCAGCCTCAATTTCCTGAGCTCAAGCCATCCTCCCACCTCAGCCTCCTGAGTAGCTGGGACTATAGGTGCACACTACCATGCCCAGCTAATTTTTTAAAAATTGTTTTTGCAGAGATGGGGTCTCACTACATTACTCAGGCTGGTATTGATCTGCTGGGTTTATAAGCCTCCCATCTTGGCCTCCCCATGTGTTGGGGTTGCATTGAGTTCTGTAAGAGCGACCCCCTGGGGGTCTAGCCTAGTTTGGCGTACCCCAAACCACACCTCCCTGTCCTTTCCCCAGAGAATGGGAACCGCTACGAGGGCTGCTGGGAGAGGGGCATGAAGAACGGACCCGGGCGTTTCTTCCATCTGGACCACGGACAGCTGTTTGAAGGCTTCTGGGTGGACAATATGCCCAAGTGCGGGACGATGATCGACTTTGGCCGTGACGAGGCCCCTGAGCCCACTCAGTTCCCCATTCCTGAGGTGGGCAGCCCTCCCCAGGGCCCTGTGGCCACACCCAGACAGAGAGAGGCCAGCACCCTGAGCCATGCCCAGCCCAGACCTGCCAGGCCCAGCCCAGCCCAGACAGGGAACAGACAAGGTTTTGTTTTCAGTCAGGGCATCCCTGGCAAGGGAAGTGGCTCCTGATGATGCTGGCAGCATCCCACGGGGCAGGCAGCACCAGTCAAAACCAACCCCTCGCTGTTTCCCTCCAGGTCAAAATCCTAGACCCTGATGGTGTGCTGGCAGAAGCCTTGGCCATGTTCAGGAAGACAGAGGAAGAAGGAGATTGATGCCAGGTGAGGGGTGGGCACACCTGCCATGCTCTTCCGTGGCTGAGGCTGCTCCAGGGCCCAGATCAATACACACATCTCCTGGGGTCTCCAAAGGGCTCAGGGTGGGGGCATGAGGGAGCAAGACCAGAGAGGGCAGTCTTCTTGCCTTCTATGTTCCAGGTGTGGTTTTTGGCTCTTCCTCTTCAAAACCCCTTTCGGCCAGGTGTGGTGGCTCACATCTGTAATCCCAACACCTTGGGAGGCCAAGGCAGGTGGATCACTTGAGGTCAGGAATTCGAGACCATCCTGGCCAACATGGTGAAACCCTGTCTCTACTGGTGGCAGGCGCCTGTAATCCCAGCTGCTTGGGAGGCTGAGGCAGGAGAATTGCTTGAACCCGGGAGGCAGAGATTGCAGTGAGCTGAGATCGTGCCATTGCATGCTAGCCTGGGCGAGAGAGTGAGAGTCCATCTCAAAAAAAAAACAAAACCCAAAACTGATTTCACTGAAGACCAGTGCATACCAGTCCCGCCCAGAACCTTCTGTTTGCACCCTGGGCTGCATCACTGGGCTGGGCACGGGTTGGAAGGAGGTGGTCTGCTGGCTTCTGAATGCCCTTGAGTAAGGTGGTTGGCCTCGGGCTTCCATTTCACATCTGTCCAGTGGGGCCTTGTCAAGTCCCAGCCCCTCCTGAGCACGATGTGAGGGTTTGAGGAGATGCATTGGTACAGTGACTTTCAAATGGCAGCTCCACCACCCCCCTCTCTCCCCTGCAGAGAACACCAGCGCTTCAGGAGAAATTCAAATCCATGTCACCCAGTCGCTCAGATCAGTGCAGCTCTGGCTGGAGGAATCAGCAGTGGCTCCACAGGAACCTGGCACCCTCAGAGGACCCCTCACTCCCCCCAGCACTGGGTGGTTTCTTGCCAGTAGGAAGGCCAGTGCTTCTCTCCCAGGCTGGCCTTGGGACCCTCTTGCGGCCTTCATTTTCTGATCTCATCCTGCAGTGCATAAGAATAAAGAACCAGGTGGTGTAAGCCTGGGCCTGTGGTGTGAGGATGGAGCATGTGAGGGGGCATGGGACAGGTTTCAGGTGGGGAAAGACCTCCCCTGGCTGGGCTGCCAGGGCTTAGCTTGTGGAGGAGCAAGGGCAGGTCTTAGTGGACAGAATGAGCCGGGTGCAGTGGCTCATTCCTGCAATCCCAGCACTTTGGGAGGCCAAGGCAGGAGGATCACTTGAGGCGGGGAATTCAAGACCAGCCTAGGCAACATAGCAGGATCCTGACTCTACAAAAAAAAAAAAAAAAAAAATTTTTAAAGATGGAATCTTGCTCTGTCATCAGGCTGGAGTGTAGTGGTGTGATCTTGGCCCATAGCAACATCTGCCTCCTGGGTTCAAACGATTTTCCTGCCTCAGTCTCCTGAATAGCTAAGACTACAGGTGAACGCCACCACATCCAGCTAATTTTTGTGTTTTTAGTAGAGACAGGGTTTCACCATGTTGGCCAGGATGGTCTTGATCTCTTGATCTTATGATCTGCCTGCCTCAGCCTCCCAAATGGTGGTATTACAGGCATGAGCCACTGCACCTGGCAGACAAAAAATTTTTAAAAATATAAAAGAAAGGAAAAGAAAGGGCCGGGTGTGGTGGCTCATGCTTGTAATCCCAGCCCTGTGGGAAGTTGAGGCGGGCAGATCACAAGGTCAAGAGATCGAGACCATCCTGTCCAACTGGTGAAACCCCATCTCTACTAAAAATACAAAAATTAGCTGGGCGTGGTGGCACGTGCCTGTAGTCCCAGCTACTTGGGAGGCTGAGGCAGGAGAATCGCTTGAACTGGGTAGGCGGAGGTTGCTGTGAGCTGACATCTTGTCACTGCACTCCAGCCTGGCGATAGAGCGATGAGACTCCATCTAAAGAAGAATAAAAGAAAAGAAAAAGCAAAAGAAATGGCAGGTGCCCTGTAAGATAACCCAAAGAGAACACCTGCATCCTGCCACCAAGATTTGAGATTAAAATTTCCTGACCACTTCTCAACCTAACACAGGACTCTCAACCTTAAAATCCCATGGAAACTTTAAAAAGCTGTGGAAGCCCAGGTCCCATGCCCAGAGATTCACATCTAATTCATCTGGGGTGAGGCCTGAGCTTTCAGAAAGTTCCCTAGCAGATTTTTTTTTTTTTTTTTGTTTTTTTTTTTTTGAGACTAAGTCTGGCTCTGTCGCCCAGGCTGGAGTGCAGTGGCTCAATCGCAGCTCACTGTAACCTTCACCTCCCAGGTTCAAGTGATTCTCCTGCCTCAGCCTCCTGAGTAGCTGGGATTACAGGTGTGCACCACCACACCCGGCTAATTTTTGTATCTTTAGTAGAGATAGGGTTTTACCAGGTTGGTCAGGCTGGTCTCCAACTCCTGACCTTATGATCTGCCTGCCTCAGCCTTCCAAAAAGTGCTGGGATTACAGACGTGAGCCACCAAGCCCGGCCTTATTTATTTATTTATAGACGGAGTCTTGCTGTGTCGCCCAGGCTGGAGTGCAGTGCCGTGATCTCGGCTCACTGCAACCTCCACCTCCTGGGTTCAAATGATTCTCCTGCCTCAGCCTCCCAAGTAGCTGGGACTACAGGCACCTGCCATCATGCCTGGCTAATTTTTGTATTTTTAGTAGAGATAGGGTTTCACTGACTTAGCCAGGATGATCTCGATCTCCTGACCTCATGATCCGCCCGTCTTGGCCTCCCACAGTGCTGGGATTACAGGCATGAGCCACCACGTCTGGCTATTATTTATTTTTTTGAGACAGAGTCTCACTGTCACCCAGGCTAGAGTGCAGTGGCATGATCTTGGTTCACTGCAACCTCCGTCTCCTGGGTTCAAGCAATTCTCCTGCCTCAGCCTCCTGAGCAGCTGGGTTTACAGGCACCTACCACCATGCCCGGCTAATTTTTTGTATTTTTAGTAAAGATGGGGTTTCACCGTGTTGGCCGGGCTGGTCTCAAACTCCTGACCTCAGGTGATCCACCTACTTACTCCTCCCAAAGTGCTGGGGTTATAGGCATGAGCTACCAGCCCCGGCCCCCAGGTGATTTTAACGTGGAGCTGGCTCTGGGAACGCTTGATTTACTGGCTGTGTGGCCTTGAGCAAGTGACCTCCATTGCCCCACCTATAGAATGGGACTCAGGAGAGCTCACAGGAGTCTTCTGAGGCTTTGATAACAGATGTCATCATGAATATCATGTATTGGGGTTAATTGTGGATCAGATACCAGGGAAGAGCAGGGCAACATTCCTGAGAGATCAGATGTTCTCTTGCATAATGGGCAGGTGAGCTCTGGATTCATACTGCCTGGGTGTGAATCTCGGAGCTGGGTGTTCTTGGGAACATCACCCCCACTCTGTTCTCTAGGTCTCCTCACTAGCAATACGGGGCATTAACAGTACTTTCCACCTGGAGTTACTGTGGTTAGTTACTGTGAGGCTGAGATAACGTAGTGGTTTTAAACAGAGGGTATGATTTTGTCCTCCCTGATCCCACTCTTCCTTGGGGACATTTGGCAATGTCTGACATTTTTGTCCTCACAACTGGCAGGAAGAAGGCTATTTATTGGCTTTGAGTGAGTAAAGGCCAGGGCTGCCTTTAAATGTGGTGCAATGTCACCATGCTACCAAAAAAAAAAAAAAAAAAAAAAAAGCCATTCAGCACTTGTAATGCCAGCTACTCAGGAAGCTGAGGCAGGAGAATCACTTGAACCAGCCTCAAAGGTTACAGTGAGCCGAGATCATGCCACTGCACTCCAACCTGGGCAACAGAGCAAGACACCATCTCAAAAAAAAAGTTGAAGTTGAGAAAACCTGAAATACCATGATTCCAGCTAAGACCTCAGCAAGAAGCCCACAGCACATAGTAAAGCCTCAATAAACACCACTGACTTTACTGAGGTTCTCTCTGACCCCTGTGTCATAAGTGGGGTGGCTTCACTCAGGGTGTGGTTCTTAGTCTGTACTTCTGGCACTGGAAAGCCCCATCTGGACACCCTAGGATGCTGAATCAATTGTAACTTCCAGATATGGAGCGCTCACTCTATTCCAGGCCCTGTGCTCACAGCTTTGCAGCAAGCTTTCTTTCCTGGGACTCCCGGACAATAGTGAGATGTCTTGCTATTATCAGTGCGATTTTAGAGAAGGAAACTGAGGTTCAGGGAGGATCACAAGTCATCAAGCTAGTACTGTGCTTAAACTTAGATCTAGCTGCTCTTTTTTTTTTTTTAATTTATTTCTTTTTTATTGTCAGGCTGCCGGTTAGCTCAGTTGGTGAGCTAACCAACCGCCCGACAGATCTAGCTGCTCTTAAGGCGCAGAAGAGTGTATATAAAGGGTTACCGTTTTTTAAGAAATAGTGGGAAGAGGGTGTACTGTTTATGTATAAAATGTCACTAGATTTGAACACAATAAACTGGCAAAGATGGTTGTCTCTGGGGAGAGTTGGGGACTTGGGAACAGGAGCTGAAAAACAACTTCTCTCTGTTGTGTTTGGAACCAAATGAATGTATTATGTATTCAAAATGTAAGTCGAACTGCAGTTAAAGACTGTGCTCCTAGCCTGAGTCGCCTGGGTGTGAGAGTACCTGGGGTGCTTGTCAGAAACAGATTCCAAAGTCACACCCAGACCCACTTGAATCAGAATCCTCCACGGGCTTCGAAACCTGCGTTTGACAAGCCAGGCTGATGAGTCTTGAATCAAGGCTATTTAAGGAAAGAGAACGCAAGACAACAGGATCCTAAGCCAGAAATGATTCCAGCTGGATCCCGAGTCTTTGCAGAAGTAGGAATACATAAAAAATGTCCAGGATGGCCGGGCGCGGTGGCTCACACCTGTAATCCTAGCACTTTGGGAGGCCAAGGTGGGCGGATTACCTGAGATCAGGAGTGGGAAACCAGCCTGGCCAACATGGTAAAAGCCCATCTCGACTAAAAGTACAAAAATTGGCCAGGCATGGTGGCTCATACCTGTAGTCCCAGCTACTCGGGAGTCTGAGGCAGGAGAATCACTTGAACCGGGGAGGTGGAGGTTGCAGTGAGCCAAAATCACACAACTGCACTCCAGCCTGGGTGACAGAGCGAGACTTGGTCTCAAAAAAAAAGACGTTCAGGACTTCTCTGGGGAGCAGTGGGGGTTCACACAGGGGTCCCTGCCCAGTCTTACTCGGTACCCTTCAGAAGTATGGATTAGGCCTGGCACAGTGGCTCATGCCTGTAGTCCCAGCACTTTGGTAGGCCGAAGCAGGTGGATCCCATGAGGCCAGGAGTTCAAGACTAGCCTGGCCAACATGGTAAAACCTCCATCTCTACCAAAAAATACAAAAATTAGGCAGAGGCAGGAGAATCGCTTGAACCTGGGAGGCGGAGTTTGCAGTGAGCCGAGATGGCACCATTGCACTCCAGCCTGGGTGACAAGAGTGAAACTCGTCAAAAAAAATGTGTTTAAATTTTTCTTTTTTGAGGCAGGGTCTCTCTCGCCCAGGCTGGAGTCCAGTACTACAATCAAGGCTCAGTGTAGCCTCTACCTCCCAGGCTCAAGTGATCCTCCCGCCTCTGCTTCCTGAGGAGCTGGGATTACAGGTGTACGCCACCACTTCCAGCTAATTTTTGTATTTTTTATAGAGACAGGGTTTCACCATGTTGCCCAAACTGGCCTTGAACTCCTGGATTCAAGTCATCCACCTGCCTCAGCTTCCTAAAGTGCTGGGATTACAGGCATGAGCATAACCACTTAATATATTAGGTCTCTGAGACAGACAGAAATCTCAAACTCAAAGGCCTAATGAGGCCAAGAAATTCACGAGTGAAGCTGGCCTGGTGTGAGACAAGAGGGAGTGGTGGGGACTGTGGAAAAAACAGGCCCTGGGAAAGAGGGTGGCTGCAGTGAAGCTGCTGCTCATGGTAAGAGCACCTCTGTAAGAAGGTGGCCCCATACAGTTGGGGCTTCCAACACTTTTTTTTTTTTTTGAGACAGAGTATGACTCTGTCGCTGGGAGAGC